TAGTCGACTAATCGTGGCAGCAGCATGGAGGATGATGATGGGATAGAGATGACTGATGTTGCTTAAGTGGAAGATTAATAAAGTACTGTCGAGGATGACACCCAGACTCTTAACCTGAGTGGAGAGAAGGATGGAGTTGTCATCAATATTAATGGAAAACCTGTAGGATTTAGTTGAAGTGGAATCTGTGCTGACAGGTGGAGCTTCTATTTTATTACCACTGAGTTTGAGAAAATCAGAGAACTTTGGTTAATCTTCTTAAAGCAATCAAAGAGAGATGGGTGGAAGGGAGAAACTGGGTTTGGAAGAAATACACTGCAGCGGATCATCGGCATAGCAGTGAAAGTCAATGTTATATTTCCAAAGTATGCAACAGTGAGGAATAACATTGGAAATGAAATTAATGAAATTAAATCTCATGTGACAAGTTTTATATGAAGTGAAAACAGTTCAGGAGTGGGTGTACTCCAGCGTGACTCCCTGTCATCATGCAGAATAAACGACAGTGTGTGTTGTGTGTGTCTGGTATAACAAGCAGAGTTGTGTGAAGATGATTTGGGTCTGCACCTCTGTGGGTTTGGATCATTCATCTTGTCTCTGTTGTGTCGGATCATGCGGCACTTCCCGATTTCACCGGTGGCTCTGGAGATGGACATTCCTTTAGATGCCACCCTGAAAACACAACAGTTTTTTTTAAAAAAATATATTTAAACTGTCTTTCTTTGATTTATATTTTTTAAATATAATAAAGATGGTAATAATTAATTTGTAGCATTGAATTATTTTTTGGTAATTAAAAAAAAATGTTATTATTGTCCAGGCATGCATTTTTTTTCTTCATAATTTTATAATATATTTTATAATATAATATTTTCCAAGTGTTTGTAAATGTTACATATTTCCTTTTTGCCCCATATAAAAATGTTCTTTTCAAACGTGGGTAATTTTCATGCACATATTTATTCATTTTTATGATGATTCATTAGCTGATGAGTGGATAACAACACATATTTGCTGTCAATTCAAATCAAATCAAAGCCTCAGACACATAAAAACTGACACTGGAGCTGTGGTTGACCTGTAGACTGTGGATCATGTGACATGTGTATAAAGACGGTATGTGATGTAGGGCTGCTCGATTATGGCAAAAATGATAATCACGATTATTTTCACTGAAATTGAGATCTCGATTATTTGACGATATTTATTTAACCCTAACGACCTAC